ATTTCCACCCTCACTCTTCCTGTCATACCCTGGAACTAGCTTGTCCTCTGGAGTGGACTTTACTTAGTTCTGAAAAGGAGTGTTCATATAAAACTGGACTTTGCTTCAATCTTACACCATTCATTTATTAATAAAAGCCAAGCCATGTTGTTTTTAAACAAATTATATTTATTTTTAAGTAAGCATATATATACACATAGACAATTTTCAAGTCATTCAGATTTTAGAGTTGAGGTAGCGGCCAGAAGAATACAAAACTTGTCGGAAATGATGCCACTTTTGTGAAATTGTGTTGAGCTTTGCGTAGTCTTAGGTCATTGTGGGTTTCAGCAGTCATACCTATCTGCATTATGTTGGAGCATCCTTATTTATACAAACTCTTCCATAATTTGTGTAATTTTTTCATAAAATATGAGTTACAGTTTATAATGTGATTGTTATGACCTTTGTGTGTCACATCAAGACATTTTAAATACCAATAAGTTTCTGGGAGCATGACGACACCTTGCAGACTGTGTTCTTTTTTTTCCACACCTGCCTTAGGGGAGTCTTCAGAAGAAGCATTGTAAAGACTAAACCTTTTTTTAGGCATCATGAGATCCCAAACAAAAATAATGATTGTGTTTTTCCCAACCCTGTCCTTGTGTTGTTTTCTTTTGTTTTGAGATGCTCTTGCTTTCCCTAGTGTCTTGCTGGTCTTGAACTCACTATGTAGATCAGCATAGCCTTGGGTCATAGAAATCCTCCTCTTTGAGACTTCTAAGTGCTGGGATTGCAGGTGTGCACCACTATACTCAGCTTCGAACTTGTGTCTTTTAGTATAAAGTCTAAGTGCTATAATATCATCTCCTAGAACATTCATAATATATGCAAGACTTACATTGAAGTATGATTTTCTAATTTCAGCAGTGATAATAGAATCTCTAATATCTGCTTAGCTTAGGTATTTTGTCCTTTATCTTTTTTTTACATACTTCTTAAAATGTACCTTAAGTATTATTTATTTCTCCAACCCTCTTTAAATGCGAAGTTTTATCTGTCTGCTATATGCCACTAAAATGTGAAGAACAGTGTCAGAGAGACCTTTCTATTTTATTTAAAAATTTTAACGTGTTTAAAAAATTAAAGAAAATCAAGTATATATTCAGACGAAACATTTGGAATATATAATTTAAACTAAATAATGGTATATTTCTATAAGAAATTGACAAAAATTATATATTTGCATAATACAATTGATGAAATGTCCTTTAGGTAATTTAGTGCATCTCCATATTTTTGTACAGGACCAAAATATTAGATCATTACCTTGAATTTCTCAAAAAGTTTCTCCTAATATTAAAAACAGAGAGAGAGAGAGAGAGAGAGAGAGAGAGACACAGAGAGAGAGAGAGAATATATTTTATTGTCTCTAAAACTGTTGGTTTATTAATTACTTTGCACTTTGACGTTTTGCAGATTTTCAAGTCTTTTCCAATCTTGTAGATTTATTTTGATGAAGCAGTTCTATATTTATATCACTCTTTTCAGTAGAGTGGTATAAAATTGATACTCATTGATGTTTGTTAACAGAAATTCCTTAATATGGGAGACAATTTGCTTTTTGATCCTAATGTTAGATAAAAATATCAAGAATAACTAAACAGATGAATTTAAATGCCTTTAACCTATTTATAACAATTTCTGTTTTTCTTCTAACATATTTGTATTGAATGGTTCTCAATACACGGGTACATTTCATGAAATTGTGTATAAAGCACGTTTCAATAAACTGATAATTCCTATAATTAGGAGTATCTATTAATTCACAGTTTATAACTCAAGTTACAATTTATAATATTCAGCAATTTTTGTAGACTACATCTCAAAATACACTTCATTGTTGCCTGCTTTGCAGAAAGGAAGCACACATAAAGGCATTATTGGTTACAAATCCTACTGTAATAATAGCTTCTTAGACTAACAACCAAAAAATTGAATGCTCAGTGAGGTCTGTATGCACAGTTTGTAGTGTGAGTATTGCATTTATTTTTGTACCAGAATAATTAGTAATGTAAAATTTTCTTAAAAAGATGCATAGTGAAATGTGATTCATAAAAAAATGATTCTTTCTTCCTGCAATTATTTACAGTCAAATAATGTTTGTAATTCTATAAAATTCAGCTTAAACTATGAAATTGTCAGTAATTGACAATATTTTACCTACAAATATAACTTTATTTATTTTCAACTATTATTTTATATTTCAGGCATTGTTTCCACCTTCTATTCCTTAATCTGGACCATACTGTAGTCATTAATTCATAGGTTTTACTCAAGAAATAGATACTTTATCTCATACTAAAATATTTCCATTTTCTCCCTGTAAATCAGATTATTTTTCTCCTTTAACTAATTATTATTTCTTCTTTATATCTACCTTATCCTATGGTATTATTTATTTCTTAGTATAAGCTTTTATATGGTGTGTTTTTTATTTTGCATTTTCCAGGCATTTTTTTGTGCTTATGCTTTCCTTTTAAATACATACTTACACAGGTAAGGGGCAGTTACCCTAGGAAACACATGTGCCAGTAATATTTTATACCAGCCATAGCATCAGATTTTGTTCTAATTCTGATCCAAACATTTTAATTATTAAAGCTCAATATAAATATTGTAAAACAGGAGCAATAGTAAAATGTATTCCAGAGGATCATGGTAAAGATTATCTAAGAGAATGTACATAGCACTGTCTATCTCACAAACATGTTTTTATTAAAGGACAGGGTATTTCTAGGTGCTCCAGGCTAAAAAATAGAATTCAAAGAACAGTGTATAGAAAGTTGATGATACTGTGTCGGAAAGAAATTGTACAAAATTTTAGCAAGAGAGCAAAGAGACAAAAAAATAATAAAAGCACCCAAACATTCCATAATTGAAAATATTTCAAAAAAATTTTGCATGTCGTATATTTTAAATATGTATTTTCTTTTATAAATTAAAAAGGGAATTTGTGGGTCTCAGGTAATTAGACATACAATAATAGCCCAGGAATAAAATTAATGCAATAAATGATTTATTTAGAATTTAATTTGAAAATGAATACAAAGTCCTTTCCATGTTTTACATTGAAAGGTGAAATAAATATCTCCTTTCAAAATTAAGTTTGCAGCGATATTGTTCCTTATTGAGATATTTATGTTTTCATGAAAGTAGTGCATGTTCAGAGTTACTGAGTAGAAGTCTAAGTACCCCACATGGACTGATGGCATCATGTTAGTAGTAGATTCCTATTTTTTTAAACCAATGCAACGAAATGTTGCATATGGAAATTCAGCTTATAAACAATTGCAAGTGGATGTATACTTGTTGCAAAATTGGCAGAACTTTGAAATTATGCTCAGCTTACTTACACTGTGTATAGAACAAATACTTCCACTGTGTATAGGGCAGTTTGATTAAAAGGATTTCAAAAAACGTCCAAAGTCAAAATCTATCTAATCTTCTTAAGCCTTCAAACACAAGGCAGAGATTTTCAACATTTATGCAAACACTTGTGTTTAATACAGAAACTTTGGTGTTATTTTTTCTTATATGAAAATTAAGAATGTATGCCAGAGTTTATACAACAATAGCAGCACAAACATGAATTTTACGAATTGTTATCAATCTTATTTCAGTAAAGGATTTGCTGGTAATGCTTACAAAACCATCCTATGTACACTTCAACAAGGGAATATCTTCATGAACAAAATACTTGATAGACACTTCCCATGTGCAGCACAGTCATTTTAAAACTAAGTCATACAATCTTAAGGAGGGTTCTGAAAATTAAGCATTAGTACCTCTGTTTCAAAACTTGACATCTTCGTAAGCCAAGATTCAGATCATTGAATTCTGAGAATTTGTCCTCACCCAACCTATAAAAAATTAGATGATTGTCTGAAAGAAAAATTTTACCTGATATGACACAGCATTCAATTTTATTTCTTTAAGTGTGGATTAAGTGAAAATGTTTTTTTTTTTATTTCATCAGTTAAAAGTCATTATGAAGAAAAACATGAATCAACGTAGTATTTCTCTACCATTATTTCTATGTAAGGATAGCATTCATTTCATAATGTTCCTCATGCTTATGGAGATATATTTGTTCTTTGATATAAAATTTTATAAATTTGGATCTGTCATCTTGAAGTTGAGGGTGGGTTTGTTTGAGGCATTGTTAAAAGCACTTTATTCTAGAAAATTCAAAACAACTTTTGTAATGAATTTACTTTTATTTCTAGAATTAATCACAATCTCACTGTGCGATCTTGTCGAGTATATTTTTTTACCATAATGAACAACTTGACTGACATATTCATGTCTTTAAATAAAAGACTTAATTCAGAACTGATTTGTTCATATAGCTATTAATTCACTATTTTATGATCTGAGATACAGAGTATAACTTATTTGATGAAGAATTTTCTTATAATCTTTTTGAGTAAAGGGAAATCCTATACATCGCCCTTATGCTTTACAAACATTGTTGCTTCAAATCAATTTTAAAATTCATTACTTTAGAAAATTATTTAGTGAATTGAGTAACTTTACCAAAATTTTTCTCTCAGTATAAACATGAAATATATAACTTCAGCAAATCATGATGGCTGGCATACAGACTAGAAAGCAAGAATAGAATATGAAAGAAGGAAAAAAGGAATGTCAGAAGATGGATAGGAGGACATTTTAAAATATAAAAATTATGCTTTGAGAACTTTCCAACAAATTTAGTTCATGAAATCTACCAGAACCATCTACAATAATCCATTATTATGTGATATTATAAACATCTTTTGAAAGAGAAAAGTATAAATAATTTTATCCTGGAAAATATTTTAACATTCTCCATCAATTTGACAGTTACATTCCTGAGAGTCTTTTGGTACTGTGTTAATTTTAATAAAGGCTAAAAATAATAAATGATCATTAGTGTAAAGCCATACAGCAAAATGACCATATTCCATTTTTTCTAGATAATCCAGACCATCAGTGCAATGGACAGAGATGAATCCGTAGAAGATCACCATTTTTACTTTAACTTATCTGTGGAAGACACAAGCAACTCAAGTTTTACAATCACTGATAATCAAAGTAATACCATTCCCTCAGTAATTTTTTACCCATCGTCCATAAATCATGTTTGATTTTAATTGGATTTATAGCATTGATTTTATATTGTTCTTCCAATATGATAACGTTGAGAAATACAGCAAAAGAGAGATAAAATAGAAACAAAACCCAAAGTCAAATCCTGAAAATTACAGGCTTCATTTCTCATGTGATTTCTTCAGAGTGGAACTACTTTTCAAGTTATTTTAAAGTCTGAATGGTCGTGCATATATGATTGTATTTCTGATATTATGGTTTTTTTCACATCCTCATTTGTCTTTATCTTCAACCTGTGTCTGAGGAGAAAGTGATCTATATGTTTAACTTACAGTGATATTAGCATGGTTGATTCACATATATTTTAAGTCATTAATTGGAAGCTAAAAATACATGAAATGAAGATTTTTTTGTTGTTGTTTTTTGTACCGGAGATTGAACTTGGGTCCTTGTGCTTGCGAGGCAGGCCACAGAACCGCTGAGCTAAATCCCCGGCCCAAGTTTTTTCTTTTTATAAAAAATTATTTGTTGTCAAATGAAGGGAAAATTATTCTAAAAGATTCTGTGTGGCGAAACAGGTTTTAACCACCTTCTCAGTGGAAGTAGATTAACTATATTATACAGCCATTATATTTCCTTTGGTTATAATATGTATTTGTATTTTAATTTTTCCTTATATATTGAATGCAAGAATTAGCCAATAATTCGAAATCCAATGTTTTCTGCATTGGATAACTTTTGTCAAATTCCCCAAGAAAGGTAGCTCTAGACATACTCATGATAAAGAGCACATATATCAATATATAAAACGCTATAATTTAGGTTTCTTTATATTAAAATAAGTTACTGATGTAAGATAAATATAACAAAACAAATAAAATATGGTCTCTTTAATGTTTTTACAAATAATAACACATGTAATGAAAAATGTGAACTATTTCTTAACACTTAAACATGCCTACTGCATCTGCTTATCAGGGTTTATAGACTTTAACTGCTCTGTCTTTTCAGCTTTAAAAAGATGGTTTTTGTTAATGCTATAAGTATGCACACACTTCAAAAAAAAATCTATATTTCCATTTTACTGCTTGAGACCTCTGAAGTAGGGCTGATGGCTGCAGAATATACTTTTGAGCCTATAAAAGTCACTCCAAAACAAAAATTAACTAAAACACCGGCATAGAAACCTATAGGGAAAACATAGTGCAAAGACAAAAGAAACCAAACAAAAAAATGTCATTTAGGGTTTTCGGGAATCTAAGGAAGAGCAATACCATATATATTGGTGTATATGCTACATTCTCCTTAGTATTTTGAATTATTTATTGAGATGAATGAATTAGTGTGGTTTGTGTTTAAGAATACTTAGAATTTTAAATGGAAAATCAATTACTAAATTCAAAGTAAAAGCAAATATTTTTACAGTGCATATACCACCAAGTAAAATTATTTCCTGTTTCCTAATAAGAAAACGCATTGTCATCTCAGTGACTTGGAAGGCTAAGACAGCAGGATCACAAGTTGAGGAGAGTCTGGGAAATTTTCAAGAACCTTAATTCAAAAAAATAATAATAATTAAAATGGGTGGAAGATGTAGCTTAGTGCTACTAGGATTCAATCATCAGTATCAGAAAAAAAAAACACAGAAAATACTAAGCAAAACAAATTATATAGCATCGTGTGTTGTAATGGACAACAGAAAATTCTGTGAATTTCCAGTTTTTATGAAAATAAAAGCTTCTTGAGTAGTTGAAGTGGTAGTGTCTGGTACAATTACCCTGCTTAAGATGACAGCATTAGTATAAATTAAATGCCAGCAGCCTGATTACTTTTAAATTCAAACATCATTATTTAAATTTTGGAACTGATTTGAATAATTCATCTAATTACATAATTTAAAATTGGGGTAGAAGGTTCAGCTGTCTTTTGGTGAGAGATTTTTCTCTTTTTAAACATTTATTTGAACACATCTGTATGCTGTTGCCTCTAGTACTTATGATGTTTTAATTTCTTTCATGTGGTTGAAAACATTACGTGCATCATTTTTGTTTTAGATGACACAGCTGTAATTTTGACTAATAGAACTGGTTTCAGCCTTCAAGAAGACCCTGTCTTTTATATAACTATCTTAATTGCCGACAATGGAATTCCACCACTTACAAGTACAAACACCCTAACGATATATGTTTGTGATTGTGATGACAATGGGAGTGCCCAGACCTGCAGTAATAAGAACTTAATCCTTTCCATGGGATTCGGGATAGAAATCATTATTGCAATTCTGATCTGCATTGTGCTAATAATTGGTAAGTACTGTTGAACTGCATAGATCTTCATTTATTTAAAGTAACTTGGTGAATATATACCTAATTATGTTATAGCAGTATTGTGTATGTATTTAATTACTCTTGTAAATATATTAAAATTGTTAAACTAAATGGATTAAACAAAATATAGAGTAGATAAATGTACATTTGAAACTACATACCAAATACCAAATGATCCTTGAATTGTGTGAATATGGATGTGTATAATTATTTAAGAACATTTTTGAACAAACATGCTTTATTAAAATTAATAGTAATGATGATGTGCTCATTCCACAAGACAGTCTCTTATGCTTTGGGTATATAAGACAGTTTGACCCTCACAATAATCTTGTGATGAATCAATGGCTATTGCCTATATTCCATACGTAGAACTACTGGAACTCAAAGAGTTGAATGTTTTATCTATGGCCATGGATGTAATAAGTAACAAGCTGAGATTCCATAACCACAATGAAACACTTTGCAGCATTACACCAGAACTGGCTAGATTACATAGAGCAGAATGTTGATAAAATGGGGAACTACTCTTGTACCAATTTTTCATTACACAATATATTATTGTTAACTGTAATTATCATGTTTTAGAGCAGATCTCTTGAATTTATTCCTAATGACTGACTGAAGTGTTGTGTATATTTGTTGAGCGATATCTCCCCCTCATTCTTCAGTTTTAGATCCTGGTAAAAACTTTTACCCCCTGCCTGTACGCTCTGAGGTTGTACATTCTATATATGATAGGTCATACGGAAGATGTCTTTCTATGCAAGTCACATACCACTTAGAAAAATGTCCTTTCGGCTTATTCATGTTGTTTTAGAATAAACATTTCTTCTCTTTTAAATTGAAATTTACTGTGCATATATACTACGTCTTCTTTGCCATTCATCCATTGGTGAACAGTTAGGTAGATTCCATACGTTGGCTATTCCATACCTTGGCTATTTCTTTGACATACTTATTTCATTTGTAAGTATTTGAGGTGAAGGAAACAGTCTTTTTATTGTTTCCATTTTTTTCTTTTCTCATAGTTTTTCCTTTACCTTCTTTCATTTTGCCTACCCCTCCCACTTTCCCTATGCCTTTAGACCTTTTCTTCCTATTTCACACTGTCAATTATACATTTTGATGCTTATTTACATTTTTAGTTTTTCATACCAGAGAAACTACTCAGTATTTACAAGTGTATGGCTTATTTATTTCATTTATTTACTGAGTATGGCCTCGATGTGCACACATTTACCTATAAATGTCTTTAGTTTCTCACTCTTTATGGCTGAGTATACTCCATTTTATAAAAAAATTCACACCTTCTTTATATTTTGGAGATACAGTGTAATATTCTGATACAGTATGTGTGTGCATTGTTTAATAATCATATCACAGTAATCCATTATCCATCACTTTATCATTTCTTATCTTAGGGACACATAATTGTTTTGTGTGCTTTAAAATACACATTAGTGTTAATTCATTGCTGTGCCCAAAATACCAAAATTTATTCTTCCCCTCTGACCTTGCACCGACTGACTATCATCTTCTCTTTGTCCAACCAGCCTCTGTCTTCTTTGCCTTTTGTGGAAGGATTTTACATCTTTATTTATCAGGAAGATTTACCTCTATTTTACATTTCTGGGGAGTCTTCTCTGTTTTTTGTGCCGGGGTGATGCTCTCTTCAGAAACAAATCTAAAATTATTTTTTTCCTTTTTTAATTTGAAGTTCTGAGAAACATTGGTATTAGTTGTGCTTCTTTGTCTGTTAGAATTCATCTGTAAAGCTATGAGATCCTAGAATTTTCTTTGACTGAATATTTTTATTCCTAATTTATTCCCCTTACTATCTTAATAGATAAAATTTCCAATTTCTCTTCGGTACACTGTTGCTAGATTATATTTTTTACCAATTTATCCATAGTTTCCTGGTTCTTCATTTTGTTGTAAATTTTTTCACAGTAATCTATTGTGACATTTTGTCTAATTTGTCAGTTATAATGTTCCTTCTTTTATTTCCAATATATTTACTCTGGTCTTCTCTCCTTTTGTTGGGTATATGAAATATTACCCAATATATTCCTATGCATGATAATTTTAACATTACTTTCATTTCAAATCCAAAGGTCAAGTAAGGGCTGGTTATCCTCAACATAAATGCACAAATCAAGAAAACAGAGATACATACAGGTATTTAGATACATAGAAGAAATATTTTTTAATTAAAAAGTGTACTGAATTTTTTCTAACATGTAAAACATCCCATTCTTCACTTTTCTCATCTCCAATAGGATATCATAAAATGTTTTTATAAAAAGTTCTTAGCACTTTTAGAACAATGCTTGATGTATAATTTGCATTCAATAATTTATCTCAGATTTTGCCTCAGTGAAGAGTATCAAACTGTATCACTCTGATCTTCTGCTAATATGGATCATTGATTGTATCATCTGATTGCTCAGAGCATTCAGATTATAAAATGTTTTGTTACTGCATTTTATTCTACTTGAATATTTGAGAAAAAATTGAATTTGAATTTTAGATGGAGCATCATCAAAAGCAATTCACTATTTTTATGGTGTCTTTTTCTATAAATTATCATCCAGAAAGATGATTATATTTCCTTATGTCATTTTTGCACATTCTGGTTCTAAAATATTCACCAACACATGCATATTTTTGTATATAATCATCAAATTAAGCCCTGTCTTGCTCTTGTACAAAAACAGTACTTTAAAATATGTTGCATTTTTACATTTTAATTCATATTCTGGTATGTTTTCTTCATCAGGATTTATATTTTTGATGTTGGCGCTAAAACAACGAAGAAAACAGACTCTATTTCCAGAAAAAAGTGAAGAATTCAGAGCGAATATATTCAGATACGATGATGAGGGGGGTGGAGAAGAAGACACAGAGGCCTTTGACATTGTAGAGCTAAGACACAGTGCCACCAAGAGGGAAGGAAAGGCTCGGAAAACCACCAGCTCTGAGATCCGGAGTCTGTACCGGCAGTCTTTGCAGGTTGGCCCAGACAGTGCGGTGTTCAGGAAATTCATTCTTGAGAAGTTGGAGGAAGCCAACACTGATCCATGTGCCCCTCCTTTTGACTCACTTCAAACCTATGCCTTTGAGGGAACGGGGTCATTAGCTAGTTCCCTGAGTTCCTTAAATTCAGAAGTCACTGAACAGGATGAAATTTTTGATTATCTCAATGACCTGGGACCTCGCTTTAAAAGATTAGCATATATATTTGGTTCTTCAGTGCAGTCAAACAAATAAGGCTTCAGAGCACCAAGGTTGAAAAAGCGTGAATGATTAATGTGTGCTTCGGCAAAATGGGAGTCTTGCTCTACAGAGCTGTGTGCTTTGGCGGTCTAGAGGTGTAGTCTCCTGCTTTATAGTTTTCTGATAATATTGGAACAAATACCCCAAGATTATTTCAAGTTACCTCCATACTGTCTGAACAAATTGTTGGAAGATAGGATAAAAATGAGATCTTAGATTCCAGTGCAAATCAGTTTGAGTATGACGCAAATATTCCCTCAGAAGTTTTCGATGGGGCCAGGGATTTAGCTCAGTGGTTCCGCCTACCTTGCAAGCGCAAGGTCCTGAGTTCATCCCCGGTACCTAAAAAGACAGAGAAGTATTCGATATTATCTAATAAAAATTCTTGGCATTTTTGAAGGGCTGATGTGAGAAAGTCTCTAAATTAGACCATTTTAATATTATTTAATTTATCCATATTTTTATTCTTACATTGTAAAAATAAAGTTTTTTATGTAGATTAAATTGCTGATACTATGCAGAGAAAACTTTAGTACCTAGAAGAATCTGGGTGCTTATGTAAAAGTGTGAAAAGAATTAAGTAATATGAATAAGCAGGTTTGTGAATGAGATTCTATGAATCATGTTTGTTTGATATTTTAAAATCTTTGCCAAGATCACTGTTTAAAACATTTCAAATTTGTATAGATATTTGGAATATATGAATTAACTAGAATTATATACTATAAATTTGTATTGTTTTGATATATACCTTTGTATAAAAGAGAGAAGAAAATATGCTCATGAGTTTTTCATAGATTATGTACTTATGCAACCCAAAATACACGTTTTACATGTCAACATACAGGGCTGGGGATTTAGCTCAGTGGTTCCTCTGCCTGCCTAGCAAGCACAAGGTCCTGCATTAGATCACTGGTACAAAAAAATAATAATAATAAAAAACTAAACCTGCATGTCAACATACAATGAAAAGTTACATGTTAGCATTTACACATTATTAAATTAAATTTTATAAAATTGGTGAAAAGTGTAAAAATGTCAAAGTTTATATTTCTTCCAAAATTGGATAGATAAATCAAAGTACTATTGGATCCAGAATTGACAATATAATTATGAACTGTAATGACCCAACTTTCATACGAGGAAACAATTATAATTCTCTGCATTTTCCTTTCTATTTAGAGTATAGGATATAATTTATGATGCATCAATAATATTTGTTTTTTAGTATCACATATAAAATTAGGTACAGTAGTTGTTTTCATTGTAGTAGTTTGAAAGAAGCAAATGCTTAGTGATGGGACATAAGCTTTTGATAACATTAAAATATAAGATAACAAAATGCCTTAATTTTAATTGACATTTTAATAGTAATTCTATTAAGATTAAGATGGACTTCAAAAGAAAGAGCCGAACAGGTAATAAAACAATGAAAACAATGTTCCTCAAATTGTTTTATATGACCATTTTTATTAATGGCAATGAGACTAAACTGAATCAAACCGGCCATGCATATTTCAATCAAATATTTCAAGCAATATTGAGCTGTGGTTTGTCAGTTGAATGATTTCAAATTTAAATGTTCTTACTATATAATAAAGTTTTACATCAATATGAACTGTGAATGATAGTGTTGGTAAAACAGACCTTTTCGCTTTATAAAATTTGAGAAACTCAGATTTGTAATTCAACAATTTAGGAAGACATTATAAATAGGAAGATATACACTGTAGTAAATTCTTATGCATTAATATCATTGTGTACTTGGGAAAAGGTTAAAATACTGAAAAAAGTCTTAAAAAGAAAAAACTTATAAGTAATATAAGAGATTTGAGGTTGAGGAAAAGTTTATATTTCTATTAAATTGTTTTAAAATCCAAGAACATAGAGAAATTATAAAGAATTATTCCACAAATGGCTTCTCTCTGTATTAAAAAAAATGCTATGAAATTCTCATTGAACAACAGGAAAATATGAAAGTACAATGAACAGCACTTGAATAAATACATGTAAAATAGAGTAGAAAAAGGAGATAGAGCACTGCATATCACTGCATGTTCTCTTAGAAATGATACCTTGAACATATGATAAACAATTTGCTACAGTTCAGTATCTGAAGCTAGATGCTTAATGTTTGTGATCAGTGGCACTGAATAGCTATGTTAAAATATATGCTGATTTATTCAGTGATAGGATTGTCAATCATTCATTACATTGAGAAAAAAAGCATACATTTGCTAGTCTAAAAAGTAAGTCCCCTTTAAGCATACCCAAAATATTTTCTAATTCTAGGAGACAGTTTGTAACTTCCTAAATAACTATGCTTGGTGATATTTTAATAACTTTATCTTTCTTTGATAGTTACAAGGGTTTTGTAAAATGTAGCCATTTCCTAAGCTAAATGTATTTACTTTATGTTTGTAAATTGAACAAAGTCTAAGTGAATGCAGATGATTATGAAAATGGCACAACTTCACAACAATATCCATGAAACTTAAATATCACCCTCACCTGACTCACAGTATTACAAACTATTAAATTATTAATGATCAAAATAAAAGACATAATGTTTTGCAGCAACCAGAAACATTAGCAATAATAATAATTTGTTAAGTGCATATACTTGAGCCTCTGATGTGAATTTATTTAGTTCCTTTTTATTTGAATATCTATGTCAACTTTGTCAAAACTACCTATTTTTTCTGGATTTCAGCATGTAATCTATAAAATAAGATCCAATCCATTCATTTCATATGATTGTAATGGAGAATATACAATTAAATAGTTTTAGAAAGTAGCATATGCAATAACTGACAAAATGTAGACTTAATAATAGTGTTACATCATTAACCCCACTGACAGGATTCACCTGGAACCTGGTCCCTGCTTTACAAGCACTATTTGATCCCAGTGGCTTCACAGCACATTTGAAATATAAATCAACTTCTGATCTGACTTACACACCATGGAGCATTTTCCTGTCTTACATATTTTTGCAGTCTGTCCTCTGACCTCTTTCCTCCTGTTAACTTATTTGTGAGATCTCTTATTCTATGTTGGGAACAATCTTCTCCCAACCACTTTTGTTTTTCATTCTCACACTCCATTCGGCTGGGTCTTTCGCAGAAAAACATACCTGCTACTGTTTTTTGTCTGTAGTCTTTGCTTTACCTTTCTAAAATCAAATCATGTAGGCACCTGGTAATATCCCGGATCGTATAATAATAATAATAAA